TTGAAAAGTGTCAAACAAACAAACTGCTGTAGCCTTAGACTTCATCATCAGGTTTTGTACACGTTTACTTCTCTGTGTTCCAGCTGAGATGAAGAAGCGTTATTGCTTCACTGTGTTACCAAAGCAAAGACATGACAGGGAACCCAGCATGTCAATCATTTTTATTATGACCAAACTCAAAGGAAAAATTAAATTTCATGTCTATTATAAAGGGACCATGAACACTGTCCTAAGAGGATGGAAGACACAGGTAAGCTGTGACAACTGACTGATGTTTACAGAAATACTGTGAACGACTGAGGAGGAATGGAGAGGAGAACCCCTGCTCTCAGATTCCCTTTGTTTGCTGGGATGGAAGGGTGATGGTGAAGCTGCAGCCTTTTGTAGGTCTGCTCTTTTGCCTTTCTATCCAAACGGATGTTTGAACTTTAAAGCAAGGACAAATCCTGTATTGACTGCTACAAAAAATTCATTTGCAACTCAAACTGACATATAGCCTTCAAGTTCCCGATGGGGTCTTTTGCTGCCTTTCAAAACCCAGTAGCCATTCGGTGCCATATCAAACACAATTTTTTTTTCACCCAACTTTCAGTATCACTAACAATTTTTCTCTTATAAATCCCTAAGTCCCACCTTCTGTAATTCTGTCCTTCATTATCCTCTTGGAATTGTTGCTTACTAACTAGATCATCATTATTTTAATTGCCTTCTAATTGGTGACTCTGTCTAGACTTTCTCCTTTATAATCCATTATAGATCACCCAGATGGCTTGTTCTTCAGAATAAAATGATAGTGATCAATCAAGAGTGCCTACTGCTTGGGTAATGCTTTGTGCCAATTTGTACTAGGGACATGATAGAAATTTACCTGATTCGATCCCACCAAGAGAGGTAGGTGCTACCATGATCCTGATTATCTTTTAGATGAGAAAGCTACATGTTTACAGAGGACAATTAACTTGTTTTGGCAATAGCATGTAGTTTCGTTTGGTCTTTTGCAGTCTTTGAGTTCTTGCATTTGCCATTTGGCTTTTCCACCTTTCTAAGAGCCAGAATGCAATGTTTCCAAATGTATAATCACACAGCTACGCACCTCCTATTCCAAACCCACACCAGGGCCAAGGAAGTCTTTATCTTCAGCAGATACACTTCCCTCTTAAATGCTCTTTACTCATGAGTTTTCAGTTGACTCTGCTTCCTCCATACTAGCCCTGACACTTGCTCTTCTCTGTACCCCTATTAAGCCCTGACCATGTTTCTGACAAGTAATTGTTATTAAAAACAAAACAAAACAAAACAAACCTGGCCAATTCCCTTCCTACTTTTTGCTCAGCTTCCTTACCTATAGTAGCATCCCTATAATTTTCTCACTCAGAACAAGACTACACCTCTTCTGCTCTGGTCTTCATTGTCTACCATTTCTAATAATGCCTTATAGACGGAGAAAGCAGTCCGTAGATGGCAGGGGAGTATGTATTATAAATAATCACTTAAAAAGGAAGAGAGTATTCGGTGCCTCTTTGGTACCAGAAGATTTGACAGCACTTAGTATGTTGTGTTCACCACTTGCCCACTTTGGGCTGATTATTCGATGTGACACTTTAACGGTACCAACAAATTGTGTTATTATTTACACTGTACTTTGGCTTTTGAGAGTTTCTTTCTCTTGTTCTCTCTCTCTCTCTCTCTCTCTCTCTCTCTCTCTCTCTCTCTTTCTCTAACACACACACACAACGAGAAAGAGAGAGAGACAGAGACAGAGAGAGAAGCAGTTATAGGTAACAAGAAGCTTCACAGCATCAGCTCAGCTTCTTTCTCAATGGCCTTTTCACCATTTAGAAATCCAGTTAGTAATTCTCTGATTGAGAAAAAAAAGCAACCCTTCTTTGTGGGTCTCTTAATGCTCTCTTTACTTTGTGATTTTCTTGATACTCATTGATCCGTTTGTCATTATTTTATCTTGTCTTATTCTAAGTATAAAGGTTCTCCTTGCCAATACTATTTCATTAGCAAACTACGGCCCCATTAATCTAGCTATGTCTTTGGATATTAGGTCAGTACATTTCTGATTCAATGCAATATTGGCAACTGTCATCAGTCTCTAATACAGGATCTAAGACCAGGGCTGGATCCATCCTCTACTGTAAATTAAAGAGTTGAGATGACAGAGAATCCTTTAAGCAACCTGTCCCATCACAGTGGACCAAAAAAGAACAAAACAGCTGCAGAAGTATGTTCCCTAGATGTGCAGCAGCCTAGGCCAGTGCTGACTGAGAAGAGGTGAGTGTGCAGGTCAACTACAAGCAAAGTGCCCTCTCCACCCCACAGATCATAAATGAGTTCCTCATATTGCTTCTTTCCTGAGCTACGGTCTATTTGATGATGCAAACAAATAAAATATCCATGCTTCTCACTCTAAGAATATCATCCTATCCTTGGTAAGAGGAGCTGGCCTTGATGATTAGAAAATAATATTCAACCCGGGTGGTGGTGGTGCACGCCTTTAGTCCCAGCACTCGGGAGGCAGAGGCAGGTGAATATCTGTGAGTTTGAGGCCAGCCTGGCCTAGAGGAGCTAGTTCCAGGACAAGTAGGACTGTTTCAAGACAGAGAAACCCTGTCTCGAAAAACAAAAACAAACAAAACAAGCAAACAAAAAACAAGAAAGAAAAAAAGAATAGAAAAGATTATTCAAGTTCTAGCAGAACCTTGGGCAAATTACTACAATAATGTTATTAAATGGAGACATAGAGATAAGGAGACTCCTGCTAAGCCATCAGCATCACCACCACCAGCATTATCATAACCATGCTATTTCCTTCAAAGGGTGGAAGACAGACAAAAGAAATGACTGCACACATGACAGCAGTTTGAAGAAACAAACATTGTGCAATATAAGACATGTCGACATAGTACCATGGACACGTGCCTCAAAGTGCAAAGATGGGACAACTGCAAGTGTCTAGAGAGCCAGTCAACTGTGGAATATTTGTTCTTCACCTAACTTCCATTTTCAGATTTTCAGTGCGGAATTCTGTCCTGCGCAGTTTCCTTCAGCAAGCAGTTGCTTCCATGTCAGGCAGTTCTTATCAATGGCCAATATGACACTTTATTCCTCTCTTTTGTAATTCAAGAAACTCGTTCACTTGGCAAGGGAAGCCAAAAAATGTTTCACAGAGTTTTCTCATTGGCAATAAAAAAAGTCAATATAAAAAAATAAGACTGACCACACATATCTTAACTGAAAAAATATGTTTTCATCTTAGAGAATAAACCCAGACTACCTTTGAAGGGATTCTTTGCCTGTGCTAGAATAAACAAAATTCAATTAACAACAACACAATGCAATGTACCAAGCATGGTGGCCCACACCTTTAGTCACAGCACTAGGAGGCCAGAGTCAGGCAGATCTCTCTGAGTTCCAGGACAGCCTCATGTTTACATCTGTGTCTAAACCAGCTGGGGCTACACAGTGAGACCTAATTTCAAAAAGAAAAATAGATAAATAAATAAAGGAAGGAAGACAGAAAGAACAAGAGAAAGAAAGGAAGGGAGGGAGGGAGGGAGAGAGAGAGAGAGAGAGAGAGAGAGAGAGAGAGAGAGAGAGAGAGAGAGAGAGAGGGGACATATATACAACTTGAAAGGTGACATTTGAGCTTCTGATAGGGTGAAGCACATCTGCAACTGACAAATGATTTTTATCAGAGATGACCCCATCTTCCTCAGTTTTATTCTCTACATAACACTTAGTATAAAATATTCTATAGTGACAAATTATCATGGTGTGAAACTCCAGAAGGAAACACCTGCAATATATAGTCAGATGCTTTGCATGAAAACAAAGGCAAATCCACATTTCCCTAATTGGTTCTGTTGCTGTAGCTACCTTAGCCTTGGTGAGCCTTGGGAGTTTTGCAATCAATATTCAGACTGGTCATAAGAGTGTGTGGTTCATTATTACAGTCGATGTAACAAATTCAACTTCATCCACACAAGCGAATCAGACAGCTTTAATCTCTCCTCTGCACAATAGAAGCAGTGTTCCGTCACTGTGGAACCTCCCTCCCAGGACTCTGAATCTTTCTGAATGATGCTGCTAATGATTTGCTGGCTTCAGTGCTGAAGCTGCTAGCACAGAAGATGCTTAGCTGAGGGAGACGCACACAGGAGCTCAATAGACGACTTGTGATCAAGGAAAAACACAGAAAGAAGGGGAGGCAGGCAATTTCTGACCACGTGCACTGGTCCTCAGTGAAGAGCTCTCTCAGAACTCTGTGGGTGGTTTCTGAACTTGCCTTAACTCTCCTTAAGTTTCAAAGGGAACACATTGGAGGCACTTGAAGCAGCCTTCTTTGCGATCTTCCCCAAGAGATCTGCATTTTAATTTGGTACCCAAATTTTCTTTCTAAGTAAAGTCTCATCTCGGAAAGCTCCAAATTCTCCAGCGTCCCATTTTGCCTGTCCCCTTGCTTAGCCAGAGTTTTATCTTCTACATGATTATATATACATTGGCTGGACTCTGCCAGTGACCCGGATACATGTGCGGCATCTCAGCACCTCAGGACAGTGCCCATGTGCCATGCTGGAGTAGCAAGTACAGTGAAGCCTTTTCCCAGCCTGGACCCTAGGCCTTCTTTCTAATGAGGTGACCTTCCCTAGAAGCGTCCTTCATCTGTTCTGGGTAACTCAGTAAGAGCAAGAGCAAGAAGGCTCGCAGACATCATAGCATCAAACACTGAAATGTTTGTTTTCTGTAAAGTAGCAAGCCCCATTCTGGAGGCCAACGCACCCAACCCCCAATCACTCTCCTTCATTGCTAGGTTTTAAGAGTCACAGGGGCATTGCGATCCAAGCTCTGTAAGGACTGACTCACAGTCTTGAGGAACTTCTTTTTCTCAACGTTGAAATGCAAGAGAGGGGAGAGAGCCAAGGAGCAAAGCCCACACAAAAGCAGCCAGCCTAGAAGCTCTGTCTGCACAAAGGCCGAACCCAGGTACTGACCTGTAAGTCTGGGGTGGACCAAGTAGTGCTGGAAGTCCTTCCAGGCCTGCAAGATTCCCCCAGTGTTCACAAAGCTGTCCCTGCTCAGTCAGCGCCTGGGTACTCCTTTCCAGCGAGGGTGCAGGGTGCTCCAGCGCCAACCGCAGGGTTGCCCCAAACACAGAGCGACCACGTACCGCCCTGGAATCCCGCTCCACCCCTTCCTCTCGCCGAGTCTGCAGAAGCCTCGCTTGTCCTCACCTGTGAGCGTTCAGTACAGCTGAGCACAGAGGACAGCGGCAGCACCGGTGCTAGGCATCCCTGCCTCAACCGACCCACGTAGAGGCCGCCCACACTCCCACGGCTGTCTGGGATGCCAGAGGGAGGGCGCTTGGCTTTATTGTTTATTCATAAGGCTGAGACTGAGGCTAGGGATTGGGCAGCGAGTACGTATGCCCGCCCCGGGGCAACGACAGGCAAATCCTTAGCACCACGCCCCTACAGCTTCCACTTGGACAACTCCACTCCCACAAGCTGCTGTATCAGGGTGGGACCCCGCGCCTGGGGCACTTCAGGAGACCCTACCCCCAGCTACTCCTATTTACATCCTGGGCTTCGGAGTCAACTTTCTCTGTGCCTTCAGAGAGGACACAGGAGTACCGTTCCAATCCAAGCAGAAATTTCTCTGGTGCCTGGTAAACCAGGGGCATTCAGTCCCCTGTTGCAAAGTGGTACCTGCTGGAACAGAGGACAGCTTGGTGGAGCCCCTAAGGTGAGTCTTAAAGGAACTCTGTAAGAACTGTTCCTTTCCTATTAAAGAGAAAATAAGAGTTAAAAATGAGGACGGATTACTGACTCTTTGCTCCATCTCATGCAAAACAAGGAGGTACCACATAAGCTACTGGGACACCTGCACTAGAGCTCTGAAAAGTAATGTGGTCCCTTCAAAGTTGAAGGTTCCGAAGTGAAGCTGGTTCAATGACTTAAGGCAAATATGCCTTCCTGCCATCCTTGAGCCTCTCAGGTACACTGTGTCCCCTTTTCATTCTAATTATGAAGGCAGAGAAGTGTCTGGAACCTGAGCTTTAGAACGGTTTACACAGCACTTCCCCACGGTACTGAGTCTTATGAACTCGCTTCTTCAGGGTGGCCATTTTAGTCGCAGTGGTGTGTGTGTGCTTGCAAGTGCATGTGTGTGTGTGTGTGTGTATAAAACGCATGAGTTTGTGCATGTACACACATCGACCGCTTTACCAAATAAGGCAACAAACACAGTAGAGAATATGAGGAATCAATAGATTCACCAATCATCTATTTAGATAATTCTCAGATGTCAAATAATTTCAGATGATATGAGAAGTCAGATATCAGATAATGTCAGATAAACTAAATCTAACTTTTAAATTCACAATGCGCAGGATATCTAATGGGAAACACCTAGTTAAAAAATTAATATGAGGTCTGGAGATAAGGTTCAGAGGCTACGATTACAGGCTGCTTTGCTAGAGGACCACGGTTCAATTCCCAGCAACCGCAAACACCTCGCAACCCACTGTATTCCAGGTCCAGGAAATTCAGCTCCTTTCGGTGGCCTAAGTGAGCACCAGGAATGCAAGTTGTGGTGCTCTGGTGTCGTCTCTGAAGGTACAGAGAGAGCTGCCTCAGAAGCCCAGGATGTGAGTAGGGGTGGCTGGTGGCAAGGTCTCCAGAGGTGTCCCAGGGTGCACAAACACTATTCAGACCAAAAGCCCATACAAATGAAATAAAAATGGTGTCAAAATAGCATTATTAAAAATAATATCTCCTTTTCAATATTTAAGCTCTACTTATGCTGAAATTACAAGGAGTTTATAAGAAATACAAATTTCACTAGGAATCTTGCATTTCATTAGATCTGTCAGTACTGAATTATTACTTAGTTCTGGCTAGTTAAAAAGTTTTGAGTCAGAAGGGAATTCGGTAGAAAACACAAATTCAAAAGCAAAACAAATGTTGATCATACAAATGCCAATCATGGAAGAACCTTTAAAAATAAAACCTTGGTATGTAGAGTGAGACTATTATTAAAATGAGCAGAAAGGGACTGGAGAGATGACTCAGCAGTTAGCAACAGAGGCTGCTCTTCCAGAGGACCTGGGCTTGATTCCCAACAACCAAAAAGGACAGATGACAGCCATCTGTTACTCCAGTAAGTCAGAATCAGAACCCAGTGCCCCCTACTGACGGTGTCGGGCAATGCATGTACATAGTGCACAATCTTCTTTCTACCCATGTAGCAAAACATCTTTACACCTAAAAGTTAATTAACTAATTAAAATCTATTTGAAAGGCATAGAAATTATTCAAAATGTATCACCTCTTTAATATGATCCTCAGGTATTGACACAAGGGGATAGAACCACTTTTGAGGGTTACTGTTATAAAACAAGTTGTTGATAAAAACAAGTTTAAAAGGAAAAGCTGGGCACATCAAGAAAGCCAAAAGCAAACCGTACCCAGAGCTTTTGTTCCTCATCACTCTTATTGAAGGAGGCACACAACTGTCTTTCTTTATGGTGATTTTTGTCTTTGGTGCTAAGACAATGTTACAGCCTTTCAGTCTCATCAAGGATGAAATACTTAGTATTGTAGTCACCAAAGAGATGCTCCGTGAAGTCTGGAAGTTAGGATGTGTCTAAGACAGAAACTGGGACAGCTCGCTGTGTTTGCTGTGGACAGTTCACCTCTCAGCTTTGTGTCCAACAAGGAGGAATAACCACGAGTTTGCTTTTGGCACATTCCGTGTTATATACCATTACAGAAGAACTATTTGTGCTTACTCTCAATGGTTTACTCTTGTCTCTGTAGCCAATCTGAAACCACTACAAGGATCCTTTTAATCCTCACAATAAGTTACAAGCATCCTGTGAATCTTTATCATTTGCCAAAGGCAAATTCTGGTTTATTATTAATCTAACCTCATCAGGCCAGCACTAGAAAATGAGGAACAAGAAGCTTGGGTATTTTATACTGTTTGAAATTGGTCCCTTCTTTGATTATTTAAAATACCAGAGCATTGCTGGCCACACTGCTATTGTCACCCATCTCACAGGAAGCTCGAGTCAGTGTGCCCATTCACCTGACCTCTGTGTGTGGGAACTATATTCTGTACCATTGCAGCTGTTCTGTAGAAGTGTGTTCCTAGTAGATATACTAATACACACACAGATTGCATCTCTGGGCTTGAAAATACAGGATCAAGATGTTCTGATAAATACATGACAGAACTTATACAGGTTTAGTGTTACTGTTGGTGGAGGATGATTAATTGAAGTCTGATGGATTTTCATTTGAAATAAAACCCACAACAAAAATTTGAGGCACTGGCACAGAATGAGAAGTTAAAAGGCATATGTGGAAACATTCATCCAAGATGGTAATTTTGTGGTTGTCCTCGGAATCCTGCAGATTTTATTCTACTTGTTGAAGGTGTAGTCATGGAAGGAGGGAGTAGAAGGTTCCATTTGCAAAGGGGATATTTATGTCTTTGCTCTGATTGTCTTTCCTTCTTGGCATTCCTAAAAGTGGATCCACGTGAGCCTTGTGGTTTCTTCCAAAGCTTTCTTCCCTGACCTTTTGATTCATTTTACAGTGGGAATTTCCTGGATGCTTCTGATGTTTTAAGTTGAACTTCTGGGGACTTTGGTGTGGAGCAGTATTCCAAGGAATATGGGATTGAATCTGAGTATTTAATGAAATTTCATGATTGTAGGGGTGATAATGGTATAAAAATAATGGTTAGAACACATTTTATGATTTCTGATTTTTTTTGCATTCAAAACTCTTCAGAATACTTGCCACATCCAATCTGAAACTACTTCACTACAGGAAAACTTACAAAATAGTTCTAGGTGTACAGTTTATCTGTAAGATAAGCTGGTGGAGTAAAATCAGTAATAAAAAGATTTTCCTTACCGTGCTTTTCGGATGAAAAATTTTATATACAGCATTTGCTTTTAATGTCAAAATACAAAGGTTTTCTCTGTTTATGTATCTATATGATTTAACACTTATTCTGGATTCACATAGATCAATCTTCTGGCTTCTCCAGCCTAGCCTCAAACACCTCTTTATAAGTGAAGGAGCAAAATTTTGTACGATTTACAACATCTGATTTAAACATGTACTGTTTCACCTCTTGTTCACAGTTTTGTCTTCAGGGTCTGAACTCCCCGATTCAACTGTAATAAATGGAGTTTTGACCTTTGCCCTGACAAAACAAGAGTGTTAAAGACTGAGGCAGGTACAGAGTGAAACAAATGTCTAGACCAGTGCAGTCCTTTGAAAGGAATCCTGTGAAGATAACACCTGAGGCTGGCACATTTTCATACAGAGACCTTCGTCTATTCAGCAGCCATGCCCTTGTGAGGTGAGTTCTAACAATACCTTTTAGGAGCTGTGATCACCAAACTGTCATGTCTTTCAAGGAACAGATCCTTTCATATCAAACTGATTTTGGAAACTATGTTCAAAATGGTGTTTATGACATATCTTTCATCTTATACCCATTCTTGTCTTTTATTTTTTTAATGAATGAATCTTAGAGTTAATCTTTTAAATAATGGGTATACAATGTTTATTAGGGAAATAAGGGCATACCTGTGTTTTGCTTTCAAGAAACTTAGATCATTCTGAAGAGTCAAAGTAAAGAAATTGTTTACCAAGACAAATAAAACTCAGGATCAATAATTTACTGTGTTTCTCATGTTTTCTGAGACAGAGTCTTTCTTTGTAGCCCAGATTTGTTTGTCTGAAATTCACAATACTTTTGTTTCAGCCGCTCAAGTGTTGGCATTGCGGATGTAGGCTGCTCGGTCCTGCATGAAGGAAACTTTGTTCAAAGAATATCCTGGACAGTGAAGTAGAGCAACAGGAGGGGGAGGTATTGCCTATTACTGTAGATTTTGAATACATTTACATATCCAATTTGTCCTTAGTTATAGAGTCGTGATGAAACATTGTCAGTTACCTCAATAAGTGAGTTTTGAGAACATTTACAGGCATGGAAAGATGCCCAAATAGATTTATTAGATTTACTAAAAGTGTTCCTTTTTTATTGTCTGCCTTTAAACAATCATGGCTATTTTTTTCTCAATTGACTACATTGGAATTAAATCAAATCTAAAAGTGTCTGGCCACACCTGTAAGAGAATATACACTCAATTAAATCACTTGAAGTAGAAAGATCCACTCCTACTCTGGGTCTTTGGAGTGCGGAAGACATAGCTTTAATCCAGGTCTTGTGAGGTGGGGACCAACCTGTAGTCAGGGCTAAACATTCTTTCAAAGCCTAGATAAAGGTCATGGAAGAAGGGA